ATGGAGGATTGGTATGCAATACTTTCATTATTAAGATGCTGTTCTAGTTAAACAAAGTATACATTGCTTCATCAGTTTCCAACATGTTTTCGCTAAAAGGCTCACACTGATTACTTTGTTGTTGTGGTGATTTTGGTACTTTCACATTTGAGAGCAGTGACAAAAATGATTTGCGTAAAGAAACATTGGAGAAGCAATATGAAAGGGTAAACAATGACAATGTTTCAAACTTCTAAACAATGATTGAACTTTCAATATAATAGATAAAATATTTGACATATGCATGTCAGACGGTATAATGTCAAGGAAAATTAGAATAATATGACCATCTCGATAAATTACAGGTTCGAAGAAGAACAAATGATTCTCATGTTATGCAGTATGGAGATATGAGTCACAGAAAGGAGTTCCTCTTAACTTAATTACATGGGTGCAGATCCTGCAAATGATAGCTACACTTCCATGGAAGATATCTCTTCACCATCAATCTGAAGGGCTGTTAGCCAACGTGATGCAGACCTCCTTCATCTTCATCACAAGGTTTCTAGACCTCCTTCATCTTCATCACAAGGTTTCTAATATTATTTTATTCTGTGTTCTGAACTCTAGAAACATAGCAGGCCAGGCAAAAGAAGATTTTCTTTTTCTTATAGCTAACAACTATTTCTCTTTATTCTTCAGTTCCACAAAGCTCCTGCTGGCTCTCATACCAAACTGGAAGCCTGAAAGCAGCTGCTCGATGAAATTGCTCATAGGAAACTTGTGGACTACAGAATAAATAAAATAGGGGAGCTTTTGTTTGGACATCAGAAGAACTCAAAAGTGTTGCTTAATGTTAGGCCTCAGGGGCAACCTCTAGTAGATGATTGGGATTGCTTCAAGATGCTTGTAAGTCCTTCTCCTGTAACTTCAAACATGAAATGATGGCAGATGCACTAGTGTTTGAGCTCATCTCTCAGATATTGATTTTGAATTCTTTTCCATGCAGATGAGGACTTATGAGAACAACTGTGGACCTTTATCAAATTATGGAATGAAATACATGCGAGCTATTGCCAACATGGGCAACGCTGGGGTAACCATAGAGAATATGGCTGCAGCGTCTGATCAAACTTGTTCTAAGAACCCGATGTCCAGAACTTCCTTTCCGATCAAACGAAGTAAATAAGTAGTCATGCATATGGCTTTCAGGTTGCACTAGTGGGGTTGAGCTAGCTTGCTCTACATCAATAAATGTATGTATGAATTTGCAATAGTCTTTGTAGACAAATAAAAGTAAACAAAGAACCTTTCAAAAAATGTGGTGTAAACTGATATCTCATCTTCTGCCTCAAGTGGAGGCAAAAAGTTGGTCAATCACATTTCATATGCAACAATTGAAATTTCATATGTTCTTTTATTATAAGTCATATCTTAAATTCAACTAATTACAACCGTCCTAATTTCAAAACCAATTTCAGAAACACAGGCAATCACCTAAGTTTCCTCCTCTTCGATGTTCTGGCTTGCCTTCGAACATTTCTCACTTTTCTTAATCGAAGATGTCTCGAGCTTCTTGGCCTTTGAGATCTGCCCACAATGCGCACAGATCTTCCCCTAGACTTTGACCTTACATGGTGGTGACTACGAGTGCCGTGCCTACGTGATGGGTAAACAGAGCTCTGCGGCTTATGCTTTCTTCTCCTGCTGAGTGACTTCCGTTTTCTGCTGACATTTAACTCATGATAGTTATCCCACAAATCATTTTCCTCGCTTGAACTGTATCCTTGCTCAATGTCTCGAAATTGGCTGCGACGGCGATGACGGCGACGACGGCGGTTTACCCTCTTAGTGTTCTTTAGTTTGTAACACAAGAAACAAGTAATATCTTCTAGTGCATACCAGTATGTCTCACATGCAGCCCAACACATCTTACAGAGGCTTTTTCCAATGCATTGGAATAACCCCAGTTTAAATAATAGATAGAAGAATAATAAAGCTGAAAGAAAGTGAAAAATATGAATAAGAAACAAATCAACATTTCTGCAACTGAAGCTCATAACCAATGAACTTCCAAGGCTAGTCTGCGAAGCAAACTCTAACGAAAATAAGAAGAGTACAACTAAAGAAGAAGAAATTACTTATGTAGCAGAGGACCAAGATCATTAACAGTTTCAACAGACTGGAGACACATAGATGCTCAATAAAGCAACCGAAATCCCAGGGTCCTGAACACACATCCCTGCAGAATCAAACATATCATAGTAATATTAGCAGGGCAGTGAAGTATGATCCAAAGGTAAATCCATCATCCAGTCTCATCATCTATAGTTGAACATGAATATGCACAAGCTCAGAAAAGTATTCAGCTAATTCCTATCTTGCAAAGGAGTATTTTCCCCTCCGATCGGCATCGATGCCTGGGAGGTTACATCTTTGAGGAAAACAAACAAGAACTAAGGGGAACGAAGGAGAATCTGAAAGCATGGTTTTGTTAGTTTATTGCCAAACGGAAAGAAAATCAAGCACTAGAAGATAATAAATAAGATTTCCTAATATTAGCAGCTAAGAAAATGAAGTGCCTATGCCTATAAGCTGCACCCCTTTGGCAGGAAAAAGGAAGAAGTAAACAAGAAGTGTACTGCGAAGAAATGCCGGTCATGACAATAAGGAAAACATGTATGAACATTAGGGACTCATAGCAGGCCTCCAAGTCAGTGCAACACAAGAAACTATTGGAGATGAAATGAAGTCAACAAATCATAGTAATTTTCATCTGAAATTACGACATATGATATGATTGAACAGGACGATGGCCGGGCCGGCAATAAAAGAGAACATTTTCATTTCAATAGAACTTACTCGCATGAGCCACCAAACATAGTCTTAAAGGGAGCCAAGAACGCCTTCTCAAGTAGACCACCGACCCCATCTGCAGCTTTACTGATGACATCCCCCATTGCAAGCAATAAAAGTTCAAATTCAAAAGGACCTGTTTATTTCTACCATCAAGCTGCACAACATACACAAAATTGAATCCAAAAGTTATTAATTAAAGCAAAATAATACAAATTCAACAATAAAAACCCACAACGTTCACCAAAAACAACAACAACAAAGGCGAAGGAAAAAATAAAGCAAAAGAAAGAAATTAACGGAGAAGGCAAGGCAGGTACATGGAGAAGAAGAGAGCCTTGTCTGTCTTGGAGTTTCTCTCTTGTTGGACGTTTTGTGATTTTTAGCAGCAGATGGTGAGATTGGGTGGAGGTTTTGTTATTTTGTGACGAGGGAGGGAGGGACGGGAATGAGAAACCGTTTCACCTCAACGGTCGGGAAATAAAATAAAATAGATTTAAAAATGGGACTGGGCTGGCTGGGCCCATTTTCAATATTCCCGTGAAAGAAGAGGAGTAAAAGATAATAATGTTGGCAAATGCCTCCATCCTACCCTCAAGGTAGTAGAAAATAGTTGTGCTGCTGAACATGTCATGTACCTTATAAAGAATGTCGTTGCACTGGAGAAAATAGTTATTGATCCTGTTCAGCGTTGGTTGTATCCTAGTAGGAGATTTCCTAATGAAATGGACAAGGGGGTTGAAGTAGTCGAAGCGGAAGTGAAAGCAAGAGAACATGAGCCATGCAACACTAGAAAGGAAAAGTGCCTTCAACTGTTGAATTTGTATGCTTGTAGTAGTAAGTGCAATGCTTAAATTATCTAGACGTTTTGTTGTGTATGGAGCCATTCGTTTCGCCTTCATCTTCTACAACTCTTCATCGGTTAGAAACCTCATCACAAAAGTAGTTGAGTTGAGTTGAGTAGTTGACTGCTAAAAAAAATTAAAAAAAAAAGTTAAGTTGTCTTGTTTTGTATTGTCATAATTTATTCATTGACATGTCACACTTACACTTTCAATAGAAATAATAAGAGTGCTGTTAAACGAACCATAAATAAACTGAGTACACTTACTACCAAACTGTTTATTGGATTACTAATTTACCCTAATATAGAAATAACCAAAAAGAATATTTTGAATTGTGAAAGAAATGTAATTTTAATATAAGTACACCCTACCCCATATTCAACCCCTAATCAAACGTAAGTGGAAAAACCTACTTCCACAAACGTTAATATTAGGGGTGAAAGTGGCTAGGGTGACGTCTTTATGAAGGGAAGCTAAGGTGAAAGAATGTGTTGGATTTTAGGTACCAGAATCGGGAGAAATGCTTGAAAAGAGAAGTGTTCAACAAGGAAACCAAGGTTGGGACTGTCCCTGAGAGAGAGTCTAGGCTAAAACCAATAGATTTGTAGAGGAGTTTGGCGGTAGTAAGAGTTGATTCATTATTTATTTATTTTTCGTTTAGAAAGAGTTTAAGATAAAGGGGTTTGGGGCAGTCTGCAAGATGTTATCTGCTTTGGTTTTCCATGTTCAGAAAATCAAAAGAAAGGAAGAACTTGAAGAATAAGATGATCAGCTTAGCAATCAGACCTAGGAAAAGAAAGATATGCTACTTAGTATCTTTCATTATATTTAAAATTTTAATTTAAATATTAGAGTGTACTTAGATCATGAGTATTTATAAAAAATAACCAAAATATGACCCGTACTTTCATAAATATCAGTTTCTATAAAAAAAATTCAAATATAGCATAAAGCGCACTTAAAAAGACTCAAATAACCTTAAAATTAAAACTCACATAAACCTAAAAAGTTTCAAAGTAAAATCCATTGCTTGCATCTCCACACGAAACTCCTTCCCACCTTCTTTGACTAGCTTCTCAAATCGTTTCACTGCAATGAGTTTTTTTCCCTATGTTTAAACTCCTTTTGTAAACTCTCCTATCGACCCTTTCCCAATTCTTGTTTGTGGTAGTCATGACCATGGTAATTGGACTCTTGAGGATAGGTATTAGATTGGTGTTGCTCTGAGTGTTGTTTATAGTGTTACTTGTTATGATGCCGATCTTGAAGACAGCCGTGGTGGACTTCTTGAGATCCCTTCTGACATGTCTGAGTGGTAAGTTTTGTTTGGCACAAATATTACTCACACCGTAGAAAACAGCAGACCCACAATTCCCATCATCAAGTGTATAGCCGCGCGGCTATACTCGGCTGGGGGTATAGCCGACCGGCTATCCCACGGCAACAATTTTTTGACACGTTGCAAAACGAGCGCCAGGAGCAGGAGATTCCCATTTTTAAAAAATAAATAGTATAGCCGAGCTGACACGTGTGAAACGGGCACTGGGCGCTAGGCGGTTCTTTTTTTTAAAAAAAATAGTATATCCGGGCGGCTAGACTCGGATTTTTTATAATATAGTACCGCCGTGCGGCTATACTAAAAATAGTGTCGTCGCTCGGCTCTACTTGTTTGACACGCGGCAAAGCAATGCTGGCGGCAGGTTGGTTTTTTTTTTAAAAAAAATCGTATAGCCGGGCGGCTATACTCGGGGTTTTTTTTTATAAAAAAAAAAAAAAAAAAAAAAAAAAAAAACTATAGCCGGCCTTGGGATATTTTCTTTAACAGAGTATAGCCGCTCGGCTTTACTGGGGCCTTTTTTAAAAAAAATTTATTACAAATAGTACAGCCGTTCGGCTATACTTCCAGGGTGACCTCGGCACCCTAAAAGATTAAGCTATGATTTATGGATGTTCGTTGTGTGAGCATTACTCATTTATTTGTATTTCATAGAATGGAGTATTGCATTCTTTATTTATGGACTATTTCACCTTTTAAGGCCATCTGCCTTTATATAAATAGATATGTTAAAGTTTTCATGAACTAAATTTTTTAATGAAATAGGACTACCATACATTGACTGTTACAACAAAAATGTTACAAAACTTTAAACAAATCTGTGGTTTATTATTTACAAAGTAAAAATTAGGAGCTCCTATCACTTCATTATTGTATAGGGGGAGGAGGAAGTGGAACAAGCATGCTTCCAACACCCATAAACTCTTCAGCAAATTGTTCATCGTTTTTACCCAACATATCCTTTAAGCTACACTCCATATTCCTTGCCTTAAGCACCCAATATCTCGGTTTTATTTTCTTTTCCAATGAATAACTGAAGTACCTGGGATACTCCACCAAATCCGTTACCGGCTTCTCCATGGTGTTTATGAGGAATTCAAGCTTCGGTCTCAAAACCTCTTCAATGCTGTACCCGAGCAACGGTGAAAATCTGCGGACCATGAATGCAATATCCCTCCGTGACAGCCCTTTCTTCATCAAATACTTAATCCTGCTCACCAAATTCCCCACATTAGACTAATTCACATTTCATAAAAAAAAAAACTAGAGAATTCTAAGTTTGTTGTGCTGCATATACTAAACAAAAAAAGCATTACCGAGGAAGTAAATTTCTATCAGTGTCTGAAACAAGAAGCTCTGGATACTTTTTGATAACCCGTGGAAGATGAACTTTGGAGACACCAATACTAGCAAGAAACTGAAGCTTCCTACTGAGAGTTCTCTCAATGCTGGCAGCAAATATTTCAGGACAGCGACCCAGTATGATGCCAACAGTTTCTTTATCAAATCCTAGATCTTCCACAAATGAAACCACCTGTATAAAGCAGTAATAACAGTTAAAACTGGACTCAAGAAACTGTGACACATTTACATGGTTCCTGAATCCTTCAGACTGGTAAAGTATATCCAGTTGCATTGTGTTGATCTCTAATGTGGGACCAACTTGAATTGGTAGGTGATTAGGTCAGGTCACATTACATAAGTTTAATTGCATTGGCAGTGAGACCAAGTCTTTGGACAATATGAGTTCACCTGGTACTAGCAGCTTTATTGCGCTTATAATAAGAGAAATAAATCATGTGGTGTTGCACATTGTAGACACCGTACTGCAGTCCATCATAAAATTTGCAAACTCAACACACACACAAGGCAACAACCTAACAGTTTAAAGAACAATATATATATATATATATATATATATATATATCTATGCATATGTTGCTTTTCAAAATTTTTCGTCGCGTCAATTTGTTACTTCCTGTTTTATAGACTAGTTCTTTAATGACATCCTTTTCTTTTCTTGGTCATTTGATGAAGAACCAAGCAGTATAGGCTAGATATTATCAGCTTGAAAGCATGAAACTGGAAGAAAAGAAAAAAACCGTATATGGCTTCAATATTTCATATTCAACCTAAAACAGCAAAATTACCAAATAGCCACACAAGTAAGCTCTGCAGCCAACATCTAAATCATGAGGTAAAAATCGCGAATACAAATAAACAAATTTATAAGGAAACAAGTTTGTGTAATATAGATGCGAAGATATGAATAAACACAAAAATTACCTACCTGAAGAAATTCTACAGGTTTCCGTATCAATAGCTGAGGGCTTCTAGAGATAACCTGACCTAACTTCTTGTTTCTAATACCCAATTCACCAATCTGGTCAACCATCAATTTTAGCAAGCCGGTTGAGCAACCCAAAACATGAGGCCAGCTTTTGATTGCGAGACCAACACTCATTTTTGGAACCTGTAATGAAGCACAATTCCTCATTTAGTATTTTAACTAAAATAATGATTCATTCCAGTTGGAATAATAGGTCAGCATAAATAAAAAGACCTGATTGGATTCCGTACCTTCTCCAAATCGAAGAAAGAAAGAACCTCCTTTAAGTTTTCTTGAATGCTGGTAGATAGAATCCATGGATATTTAACCAACATTCTACCAACATCTTTATCCTCCACACCAACCTGCACAACAATACATGAAGAAATGCTCAATCATGGCAGACAAGGTGTCTCCATAACGTTATGAAATCCATTCTTGGTCCAAATAATATAGACCAAGTGAACAATGTATAAACCAACACCATAGTTCTATTTATTACATGTACAACCAAGGGCATATGTTATAAATGTAATCTCCGTAAAGTTGGTTATGCTACTGATCATGAAATTTCATAAATCCAAAAGTTGACATGTCCAAAGAACAAGGAAATGTCCAAGGTGGGGAAGAGGAAGCTAGAACCAACATAATTGCACAGTGAGATAGAGATCACTTATTTTATCATTCATACAGCTTCGGAAATAACAAACTATTTGGTAACTATATATTTAAAGTCACCTAAGTTACATAATAATTTTGCACTTAAATTAAAATTGAGAGAAAGCAGAACCAAAGTTAACTGTACCTCTCTAAATGCAAGCACTCTTGTTTTAATGACTTTAATGTTGCAAAAAATAATGGGTGGATATAACAGAACTATGTTTCTCATG